ACAGTCAGCCTCTGTGACATTGTCTATTGTTTGGGTAAAATGTGCTCTAATATCATGTTAAAAAACTTAGGTCTAACTCAATTCTAAAAACTAGCTCATAGGAGGAGGACTACCATATAAGGAGTATACTGACTTTATTCCTAAATAATGTAGGACATCTTAACACACGCTGCTCACGCCTAAGACTGGACATCTGGTGCATGAAATTTGCAAGACTGAACATCTACACGGATGGAACGCAACAGGACTGGACATCTATAGGTAACCCAACATTCAAACTAGGTAGGCTTTTATACCATGTTGAGAGAGAAAATACTGAGAGACATTAGAATGAATTCGTGTGTCTTGGGCAAAGCGAAACTATTCAATTTTATAGGGAAGAGTACATAATTACAAAATATATAATTACTATATTTATAAGATTCTAATAGATTCTAACACTCTAATATCGTAATCCTCCTTAACAACTTTCCAAACATTTCCTACCTCAAGATAGGATTCTATTCCAAAAGCCCAAACATGATAATTTTCACCTTCAAAGATTGGAGGTGCTTTGCATTTTTAGGTAAGGAGTTTTAGGTAGAGAGCCTTACAATGAGTAGGACACCATAATGCAACTCCAAAACTTTAAAGCTATGGGTACATAGGTCCATCTCTTTATAAACCCCTAACTTACTCATATCTCATTTCATGTGGAACTCAATTCATACTTGATTCTAACACTCCCTCAAGTGTGAACCTATCTATTCATATCAATTCCTTCCACAGGAGAAGTTTTTCTCTATCACAAGTATCCATGGTCTACACTGATCTCAAAAGAAAGCAATTATATTTAGACTGGCACCCCTCCTTGGTCTCGCCTTTGACTCTATTAGGTTCTTTGCTGCCCGCCTCAGCATCTCGTACCCTATTTGTCCTCTTCCCTTATTTACTGCAAGAAGGTGGTCTCGCACATAATGAATTCTTCTTTATTTCAGTCCTTTTTGTTTGGTCTTGATCCTTGATCTTAGATTGCTGGAGGGCAAAGACCATTGATGTTAGCAGTTCGGCGAATTCCCAACCCAAGGAGCGAGGTACGAGCTACACCAAGAATTCCATTCTTCCCCTCAAGTGTGAACCAATCTATTCATATCGGCTCCCTCTACAAGGGAAGTTTTTCTCCATCACTGAGTATCCATAGTCTACACCACATGACTATCATTAACTTAATGACACTTTTTAGGCTCCACACATGGATCATCTAGTGTCACTGTTTCATCTTCAGTGCACTTTTCACACTAACCATGAGTCCATACCATCAACTCACTCAATCACGGTTTATCTACTCATCTGAGCCAGTCACTTGAATCAACTAAGCTCTGATACCACTGTTTGGTTGGAAAGTTTTAGGTAGGGAGCCTTACAATAAATAGGACACCACAATACAATCCCAAAACCTTAAGACTATGGGTACATGGATCCATCTCCTTATAAACCCCTAACTTACTCATATGAGTCATATCCCATTCCATGTGGAATTTAATTCATACGTGATTCAAACAAACGTCTTAGATTGTATTTTTGTGTATAATAGGCTCTCAATTCTCACACGATACTCAAGCTCTGATACCAATTGTTAAAAATTAAGAATAATTGATATGCTGGAAGAAGACAACTTTTTCATTTATCAAAACATGTATTTAAATATAACTTCTCTAACAAACTAAGCTAAAAATACTCCACCACATTTTGGCAATTTAAAAAATATACAACAGACTCAAACAACTTTAACAAACTGCCAACTAATATTTATTCGAACTTAAATAACAACTAACAACTAGAAGGAAATTTGAATGTGAAAGACAGCCACTGAGGCACAAACTTAACATATTCTTCTTCAAGTTTTTACTGCATATTCTTGTAGGGACATTCTATTGGAGTATGGGAAACACATTATGAAACTGGGGACTTTACTGTTTGAATTGTTATCAGAAGCTTTAGGTTTGAATCCAAACCATCTAAAGGACATAGGATGTGCTGAAGGGCTTATTGCTCTTGGCCATTATTATCCTGCTTGTCCTGAACCACATTTGACTATGGGAACCACCAAGCACTCTGACAATGATTTCCTCACAGTGCTTCTTCAAGACCATGTTGGTGGCCTCCAAGTACTTTACCAGGATAAGTGGATTGATATTACACCTATTCCTGGGGCTCTAGTAGTCAATATTGGTGATCTTCTGCAAGCAAGTTTCCTGTTATTATTCTTTGTATACTTCCTTCAACGACTTTTAATATGTAATGGATAATTGTGACATCTAAAATTTCATTCTTTAAGGAGAGACTTCCTTTTTCTATGCCTGCTCTATGTACATGCCAAAGCTATTAACATAGTACAAACCATGTCTAAAATTATCATGGAGTTGTAGTAACTTGGCAAGTCTGCTACATGTTTGGTTTAAAGCATATAACATCTCTTATCTTTTTGAATTGCTATATTGTTGTGCCTTCTAGTGAATTAAATGAGGTTCAGTTAGGATAAGCTTAATACAGAAAGTATAATGAATTAAACTTCTCTTATAAGTTAAAATCAACATATGCATCTCAACTTTCCTAGAAGTTTTCTCATTTAACTTTTCTAAAATCTGAGGTGCATAACCTGATTTTAAGTTTTAGAAAATGTTTGATTCAGTTTACCTCTTTTTTTTATTTTTATTTCTGTTAGCTAGTTCTTGTTGAAAAGTTTATCAAACTGGGTCTATGTCCACGTACACTACACCACTAATAAATCTCTTACTTGAGCATGAAATGCTTGTTTTATTTGTTTTTATTTGATGATGGATGTGGTCTTATATGTAGCTAATTATTTGTTTGTTCGATTTATAGCTTATAACAAATGATAGATTCAAGAGTGTTGAACACAGAGTAATAGCCAATCATGTTGGTCCAAGAATATCTGTTGCATGCTTTTTCTGCACTGGTACGATGGCATCCTCAAAGCTTTATGGGCCTATAAAGGAATTATTATCAGAAGATAATCCCCCAAAATACAGGGAAACTACAGTTGCTGACTATGTAGCCTACTTTGATGCAAAAGGACTTGATGGCACCAGTGCTCTAACACATTACAGGATTTGAACTAAAAGGACTTGATGGCACCAGTGCTCTAACACATTACAGGATTTGAACTACTAAGTGTAGACCAAAAAGAAACTATTATAAAAAATAATTACATTACTCTCATGGGCACAAATGATTAGTTTTTTTAATCCTCTCTGCCACAACTATTAAAGTCTGTACTAGTTGAAATAAGTTTTAAAAACAAACTAAATTTGAACGTAACCACTCTACAAGTGATTTAACAGTAATAGAAAGAGAAAATTTAGATGTACTTCTTTTAGTGCTTTTGGTGTTAATTTTAATTAACATAAAATTTTACTTCTAGAGAATTTATGTTCATCAAGTGAAGAAAAAGTTAGATCTCACCTGAATCACTCCATGTATATCTTCCTGAGAAAAAGTTTAGTTTCAAACTTCATTTCAAAGAGGATAAATAGGCCTTACTAATATGTCTTGATCCACGTCTCGAGTCAAGTGTCGATTGTGTCGATAAGCACATTGAACTATATCACGTATTTATCAAGAACACGTTCTACCACTAAGCTAATAGCTCGTCATGTCTAATATTATTAATAATTATTTAAAATTTCATTTTGTTGAGACTATAAATGCCACAGTTTTGTTGTATTCAATGTAAACTGAGTGATTATTATTTGCAATTTAAGTCTTTTCAAGAAAAGAAAATTTTAATTAAATCTTAAAAATCTTTCTTACAGTAACACCCTTCTTTTTTAATCACCTATGCTATGAAACTTACCGTGTAAATACATTAAAAAATGTTATGTTAATTTCTGAATTACTACGAAGGATAATTTACTTTAAATAAGATTATCGTATCATAAGATAGTTACGAAAATTGTAAAAATAATTTTCAATAATTAGTTAAGAAGCGTTGACTTTATTTATTACAAACAAAATAAGAAAATTTAAGCTAACCTAACAAGATAATTTAACTTCTGTAAGATAATTTAAGTTCAGTTATTGGACGCTTTTTCGTTTCTTGCACCGTTTCTTTTTAATTATTTTTAAAATTAGTTTTTGAGAAATGTGTTTAATATATTATAAAAATTAGATTTTAAAAAAATTATAAATTACTTTTAAAAGTTCATTGTCAAAAGTAACTTTATCTTTTAAAAAGTAATTTAAAAAATAATTTGTAAATCACTTTTTAAATTTAATATTTAAAAATAATCTTACATCTAAAAGCTAAAATTTGAAAGTAATTTCTTCAAAATTTAATTTTTGATGTAAACTGAAAGCATTTTCAAAAATTTTAAAGAGTAGCAGTGCTAATGGCAAAATAAATATTACAAAATGTAATATTCCTTTACTTATTATTAGGTAAGAAATATAAAAGCCACTTCTTCATCTTTGCTCGCTTCCTTATAGACCGAAAACCATTATTAATTTATTTAAATCATTTATATAATTATTATTTACCTATACATTGGATTTTAGTATATATTTGATATATGAGGTTATCTGAAGCATTGCTAGCAACATGACTTGAAACAAACTCAAATTTGATTTTAGTGCTATCTTATTAAGTCATTCCATGCAAGAAAACGATTAATTATAATTTTTGGAAAATTTATATTTATATAATTTAGAAAATTATATTTTTGCAACTTCCTGAAATAACCTTTATGAAAAAAAAAAACAAAAAAAACAAAAGAACACGACAACCTGATTCTACCTTGCAAATATAAAGAAAAGTTATCCTAGCAGACGCTACAAACAAAGGTTAAGTTGGTAAGGAGCCAAGTCACTGATTCAGACATTTTATGAGATTCCCATGATCCTTAATTAAGTACTTATTAATAATTTAAATAAAAAATAGCTTATACTATAAATTTAATAGTAAAATTTATTAAAATAAACTGAAATAAGTAACTTATTTCGATCAATTATACCAATACTTATTCAAATAAATTAAAAACAATTTGAGTCATAAACTCTTCCAAGCAAGCCAACACCTTATACTATTGGAAAAAACAGATTACGGGTAGATTTTGAAAAAACTGAATAAAAAACTCCCTCGTAAAGAAGCAAGTTATTACAACAAAAGATAAAATTTTAACAATAATCATGAAAAATGGTTAGTCTACCACTAATACAAGTGCCATAAAAATTATCAAAAAGGTTGCCCTTTTTGCCTCACAACAGTGGCCAAATCCTACTCAACCACGGCCAATAAATCACTTGCTTTGCAGAAGCAGTGCTTTGCTTCAGTCCCCAAATCAACCTGACAAATAATTACACCAATATTTACTAATGGTGAACAAAACATTTGATTAATGAAAAATGCTGCCATCAATTATTTTTTAAGGAAAGCTGTCACAACTTCATGTTTTTTCTAGCGACCAAAACATCCACCGCATAGCTAAACATGCAGTACTTGAACTGCAAGATTCAATTCACTAATGCAATAACTACCATTACAATAGTCACCATGAATGTCAGTAATTTAAACTTGAAACAACAGTCCCAACAAGATGCAGTTTCATTACCTTTCAGAAGACAATAAATAAATAAATAGAAAACAAATGCATAATATGAAGAGGGCAATAAACAACTTGTGTGTACATCTTGTGCACACAATCTATATAGCTATGAAAATGAGTAAATACTGGTATTAGTCTGGAATTTGTATGAATCGGCATTTTTGTCCTTGAAATTTTAAAAACCCTGTTAGTCTCTAATTTTGTAAAAAGTCACATTTTAGTTCTTTTTAACTTTATTTTTTTGTTGGCATTTTACGTTAAAAAGGACTAGAGTGAATGTCATTTTACAAGATTAGAGACTAAGATTTAAAATCTCAAGATTTAAAATGCATAACCCATACAATCTTGAGGATTAATTTGTGTTTACTCCATGAAAATTTGTGCCAACTGGAACAAATCTATCAAAAAAAGTAAAGATTGTTTTCTAATTGTTCACTGACCAAAGACTAATTTGTCCTACGTTGGACAAGTCACCCTATAAAAAAGTTGGAAGTTTATAAACATTCTACAGACAAAGAGGAGCTTAAAGTCTAAACAAGTATGATATCTACCCATTCCAAGCACTCGGGTCAGAATTATTTTCCCCATAAATTGTTCTTTTGACAAAAAATATTCCTTAGCTAGCGATTAATTCATTGAAAGGAACTTTTAACAGTTAATGTTACAACTTGGAATATTATCAGATACACATCACTTTCTTTATATACATATAAAGCAAATATTTTAATGTCACTAACCTGATAAGCATTTACGTCAGTGAATAGTACCTGCAAAAGAAAACTAGAAGATTATATTTGGAACAAATTTCAACAAGCTCCAACAAATAAAAACAATGCTATTTTAATACACAGTAGTGACATATATGAAAATTTGGTTTTTGATCGAGTGTGTAATTCATATAGTCAACCTCACCTAGTGAGATAAGACTTGATTATTGTTGTTGAGTGTCACCTAAAAGCCTGAGCTTGTGGGAGTTGGTCCTTGCAACATTAATTTATGATGTAATCATAAACTGGGAAATAGGGACTGAAATTGGGATTTAAGGGTTAATCATCAATAACTCAGGAATTAATGGTTACTTGTTTGGCTCTTGAGGAATCTTATCCCAAATTAGATTCTGACTTTATTTCCTTGTCTGTGGTTTAATGTATCAATGACTCGAGATTAGGATTGCTTGAATCTAAGTTTGGGTTGTTTGTCTTGGTAAGATTTTGGGTCCTTTTGAGAATTTGAATCACCTATATAAGCATACTATCAACCTCAAGGATGTTAACTTAATATTGAACTTGAAAATTGAGAATATATAAGATTATTCTTTAATTTTTTGTCCATTTGTACTTCACCTCATGTATAGTAGTTAAACATGTACCTTTGTTCCAGCCTTTAGTTCTCCAGCCTCAGCACCTATAGTTAGGATCTGGAAGAAATATGAAAGAAAATGACCAAATTATATCGAAAACACGCGAAAGTAGTGAAAGTAAACTCAACATCAAAGGATTCAATGCCGTCCACTTACTTCTCCTGTGAGGTATCGTTCATATTTAACAGCTGACTTGGGCAACAAAACTCCATTAGATGTTTTCTGCACACAAAATATATTCACAAATCAACTACGTAACATAGAAAAATTACTGTCCACTTTTACAAAATTTTGATAGTCCATCACAAAATACAAGGCAGCTGCAGCAACTAGTTAAAATCATAAAATAGAAATTATTTTGACGATCACACAAAAAGCAAGGCCAAGAACAACATTGGAGAAAATTATAAAAAGGGATCTCGTGATAAAAATATATCTCATACAACCAAGCCCAATGATAATGTATGACCATGTAACCAACCTCACCTTGTAGGATTAAAACTTTTGTTGTTCTTATCTTTATTTAATTGTGAAAGTGGCTTTCAAGGAGAAAAAAAAAAATATGAACACTATCTTAGGTAACAGCAAACTATATATGCACAAGGAACCATAATCAAGTGAGAAATTTAAAAAGGCAAGCTTTGCATAATGATGGGAGCAATAAACACAAAATAATCACAATATTATAAATTAAACAAAAAGGAAAAAGCGATTTGTGGAAAAGTGGCAGTGTGGCACCCCTTCAAACACTAGAGTCACAAATTGGCAAAACCAAATGATACTATACCTTGTGCATCACATTATATAGCATAGAAGAAACCTTATTTATGCCCCCTTCCCCTCTCTTCAGTATTAAAAAAATGTTTAAAATATAAACTTCAACATTTGTTATGTATCCCTAGTAAGCTTCACTCTCAATTTTTATGTTACATGCAATGCAGAAGGGAATCCAGTATACTGAGCCTGAGGCAGTGATCTCAGTCTCAGTATCAGCAAAGCACTCTAACAAGATTCAAGCATAGGGAGACATGTAAGCTAATCTTCAATCATGACCTTTTGCAGTTCGGATTGGAACACATTTTTTTAATGTTCTCTTTCTTGGAATAAAATAAACTCACGGAAAGAAAGTTAAAAGTTACTAATACGAAGCATAAGTTATCAACAAGATAACATCATGATGTGACTCAATTGGGTCTTGCTTGAAGTGAACACGGTGGTGGTTGTTGTAATACATTGAAAATAAATAAATAAATAAAATAAATCATCCCATGGCCCAATCTCAACAGTTTCTCAAAATCATATCAAACTGCTAGTTAACTAAACAGAGAAGGCTCACAAACAACTCCAACATTCAGCCTTACATTAAGGCACCATGGTTGAAAAACACCAAATAGGAGAATAATCAATGCACACTATAGATCCTTCAGACTAAGAATAAACAAACAACATACCAAGTTTTTTTAAAAAATAAAAAATAAACTGATTATTTAGATAAGCATATAGCATACATCTGCTAGCTCCTCCAGACGTATAAGAACTCTATCAGCCTGAGGCACAACCTGCATTCCAAAATCATCGTAACTCAGATGAAATTTATAAAAAATAAAATAAAATGAATTTTCGAAAAATAGAAATATGGGATATGAAAAAAAGGGTTAGTGAGGTGGGTGTAGGCATGAAAAAATTACAAATCAAAACAATATTTTTAAAAAAGGAAAAACCTTGGTGGGTTCCCATTTGTCGGCAACAGCATTGACCTTCAGAGAGTTCCTTTGCAAAACTGCAAGAGACCCAGATGAGAAAAGGTTAAGAAATTGTGTGAGGCGAGAAAATTAAGGTTGAACATGAATGAGAGTTTAGATGAAATTTAAGGTACATGGGAGTCTCTTGTTGGAGAAAGAGAGGGCATTAGTTTTGTGAAGGAATGGAGTTGGTAAGGTGAGAAACGTTGATGCCATGGATAAGAGAGGAGAAACAAAAAACAAGCTTGTAGCAGCAAATTAAGAATCGAATTATGGATTTGGAGATAAAAGGGTTAAACCCTTTTAGGTTTTATCTACCGTGCAAAAAGACAAAAGAGAAAACAAAATGGGTGCCCCCAACAAATGGCTAGAAGATTTGAGAAACTACTAGAACAACGTACCTTTGATTTAAGATTTTCGAAGTTTTAAGAACATGTTTTTTTTTTAATTATTGAAGTGAAATTATTTGAAAAATAATTAGCATGTTCCTTGTTAGAATTAATTTTGCCTGAACTTCAAGATAAAAGGAAGCGAAACAAGAAAAGTCTATCACGATGCAATTTTTTAATAATGTTGTTTCCTGAAAATTATATTTTTTACGAAGGTTGAATTATATTTGGTATGATTAAAATATTTTTAAAAATGTTAAACAATATTTTTATAAATATTCTTTTTTCTAACTTAAATATTATTTTTTTAAAATATTAATATTTATTTCTTCCAAAAATATCTGTTTTTAAATTATTCTTTTATTTTCTATAATAATTGTAAAATGTTGTTTATACTGAAAACTAATTTTTTGTATTTAAAAAACTAGAAAAATAAAATAAAGTATAAAATAAAAAATTTAATACAAAATATTTATAATACAAGAGATGTTTGCATATAGTGCGTCTAAATATATAAAATTATATTAAATTTTTACATATGCTTGTGGATTTGAAAAATAAAATAAAATTCATGGCACAGTTACTTAAGTTCATCTATATGAATGGTGAGAAAATTCCATTGCAATTATTTATGAATCGCAGAGGAACCATTTCCATTTTTATTAATTTTTTTTCAACATTTCCATTTTATTGATATATTTAATATATAATATCTATGTATAGTACTCTTGAGCTTTCTTGAAGAATGTCAAAGAGTGCTACATTCTCAATTTGTTTTTAGTTTTTTCTTTTTTCTTTTAATGTTCTCAATATTTAATTCTTATATGTAATAACAAGTAATTGAAAATAATTGATTAAATTAAGTTTTTTATCTCTAAAAAAAATGGTATTTTTTTAAAATAAGTCTCGCATATTAAAAAGAAATTGTTACAAAATGACCTTCTAAATTTCACGAATTTTTTAGTTAGTCTCTCATTTGAGCGGATCCAATGAAAATTTTATATTATTTATGAGAATTCGTAATATTTAAAGAGATCAAATAAATTTTTTAGAATATTTATAGAGTCCAAATGCAAAACAAAAATTATAAAAGAACTATTTAGCAAGAAAATTATTATAAAAAATAATTTAATAAATAGATATAAGAGACTAAATTTAAAAATTGCTAATTTTGAAGGAGCCAAAAACTTAATTAAACCAAAATAAATTTTATATTTAGAAACATTTTGCATATAAAACCAAATAAAATGAGCAACATGTATAAACATTAAGATTTTTAATTAATCCTATTATTTATGTTTAAGAAGAGTTTCTTCCTTTAATCAAGAATACCAAATCTTTAACTACATAAATAAAGTTTATCTTTGGTTATTATTTTGAAGTTACAGTCACTCATTCGAATTTAATAAAGGTTATTAAAAGTGACAAAAATTAATTCAAAAGAATATTTTTATTAAACAATAAAAACCAAATTATGCGAAGGGAACATAAATGATCCTTAAAATTAATTATTGAATTTTTTAAATAAAAATACATTTTAATAATTTTTATCATAAAAGATAAGTACTAGTGTTTTCTTCTTAATTATAAAAAATAAAAATTACTTTTGCTAGTAGAGTAAGGTTTTATTTGATTTTGCATTGAAAAATTAATTACTGTATTTTTAATAAAAATACGTATTTTAATAATTTTTTTATTTTTGTCATAAAATATAATTATTAGTATTTTTAATTAATAAATTAATTTTAAATAAATTAATTACTAATTTTTTATATTTATTTATTATAGAATTTTTGTTATCGAAACACTGACTCGTTATATTCATTTAATATAAATTCTTAAATATAAAATAAATTTATGATATATAATTATTTATTATGTCTTAATGTATTATTTATTTATTTTTATAAAAAAATAAAGTATTAAATTAATTTTTATATATTGATTATATTTAATAATTTAAAATAAAATTTATCAAAGCTAATTTTATTCAACTTTAAACTAAATTAGACTAAATTGCTCGTAAACGAGATTATTAAAAACAATTTTATTAATTCCAGTAGAAATCGGACTCATTACACTAAAGCTATACAACTATAATAACTTTTTTAAAAAATAATTTTTTTATTATTTTAAATTTCTTAAAATTTGTCTAAGGAATGAAAGTTAATATTATTTATATATTAGATTTTGTAATTTTTTAAAATTATCATGTAAAATTTCTTATTACGCGGCTCAAGTACATATTTTAAAAAAAAAACAAAGATTCACTTAAAATCTGTGTCTCCCTAATCACAATAATCTAGGAATGGTGGGAACCAGTGAACTCCAAACGTTGAAATTGGGTAGCATTTTAAGAAAACAAATACAATGACAGAGGAGATAACGGCTGATGGGACCCACCCATGAGTCCTTTTGTTCCTCTTTCTATTGCAAATTGCAAACTCATCACCATTCAACCCATTCTCTCTCTCTCTCTCTCTCTCTCTCTCTCTCTCCTCCATCTACCAGATGCATCAAAGCTTCACTCTTTGTTGTAAAGCACCACAAAACAAACCTTTTCTCCTCTATTAGACTCACCCCTTTTCTCCACCCACTTTGCATCACACTCTTACTTTACTAAAGCAAAACCCTTTTTGTTCACTTCAGCATAACAATAATGATGAAGAAGAACAAGCTCAGTTACTGTGTGTTGCATTTTCTTTGTTGTCTACTTTTTCCAGCTCTTGTTTTCTCCCACCATGTCCATGGTAATGTTGCCATAGTTTTCTTTTCTTTTCTGTGTTTTAGTTTTTTGGCTTTTTGAAGTGTTTATGAGCATTTTTCATGCTATTTTGTTGATTTCAAGAACAATGTGGGAATGACAAGCAACAAATGCTGCCCTTGATCCATGTGTGTTTCTGTACTTTAATTTTTGGAGATTCTGAAAAGTTGTTTTGATATTGTCTCTGGAGTTAATCACTTGTACTTTTGAGATAGTTGCTATAATGGGTATTCCAAATGCTCCTAAATATAATTTCAAAATTATTTTTATACGTGTTTGGTTCGGTTTAATTTAAAGAATTAATCTTTACCTTTGTCAACTCTGAGAAAAGTTTTGAAAAATAAGAGATTTTTTTTAAAATAATGTGTTACCAAACGAGGGCTTAGGCTTGAAAGTTTACATCTTTCTTCTGGATCTCTGATTTCTTAGTGTCACATATTCATTTAATGAGAAGTTTCAGTGAAGGGTTCCTGTTAGTCTTGTTCTAATAGACCAAACATGATTGCTTGTGCTTGTTTGTATATGCTTGCCTTTTGTTTCCAAATTCCTAGTTATGGTCCTGGAATGTATATGTAATACTCTGAAAATAAACTAAGGATTCATACTTCAATTTTGAAATTAGTGAGAAAAAAAAATCGAAATGATAGTTGCTAGTGATGTATAGAAGGAAGAGAGCTGCAAGAGCGACATTAAATCATTAACTTCCCTGTGCATGGTATTTGGAAATTGGAAGGTTTATGTTTTTACGTTATTGAACTTAGAGCATTCAACATTGGCCTATTCTCCCATGTTTCAGCTAGTTTATATTTTTCATTTTTAATTTTCATATCCAACGGGGGTGTTGGCTAAAGTTTGGACTCTGAATTCAATGCCTTTGAATTAATTATTGAATTTCAGGAGTCTAAGTTCAAATTGTCTTTGAATTATTATGATTTACGCTTTGGCTTCTCTGATCTTGTGGAATAATCCTGCTGCTGCAAATTGCATTGACCAGATTATTGAACATTTAGAATGTTAAAAAACGTTGGTTAAATACCACACTGATTTTCTTGATAAGCGTTGTTGATTATGATTGGTCAAATTATGACCAAATGACAAAGTTCTATTATTATTACATAAATATCTCTTTGATGTTAAAACTGGTGGGGTAGAGTAGGTCATTGGTGAAACTGAAAACCCCAAGTGATAATTAATCCTCAAATAGCAAGAAGATGATGAAGTAGGAAAATGAAAGTATTTGAGTTATAATGTGACTATGCATCTGCTTTTGTTTGCAAGCTGTAACCTTATGATAATCATTGGGCAATAATGTGTCGTTTAGTTTTAACAGTAATTTTAAATTCTAAAGTATTTAGTGGTTATACACGTATAATGTTAGTAACATCCCATAAGGTCAGCAAATCCTTTAGGAAACCCAAAAGGTCATATGCATCTTTTTGCCTTAGGCTTATTAGAAACATTTTGCAGTGGGGATTCACTTCTACTGAGAAGAATATATCTATGGGATTTTAGTAAAACTTGCATTTTATAGATACCCCATGAATACAAAAGAACACAATTTCACTGGGAAGGTTTACCTCAATAAGGACATGGATAATGTATTGGTGCAAATCTGAATCATACTTTCATCAGATATGAGGAATCACTGTGAACATCAAGGCAATTGAATGGAAACATTATGAACATTTACCATACATCTCTGAATTCATATGGTTGTGTTTCTTTCTATCCTGCAGGAAACCCTGCCAGTGACATTGTGGACATGATAAACAAGAATAGAACAGATCAAAAGCTTCGTCACTTGAATGATAGTCCTGGTCTAGGCTGCATGGCCTTACAATATGTTGAATTATGCAAAGGGAACTGCACTGATAACAATGTTGTAAATTGCAAACCTCCTGAAGATGATTTCACTGAAGTGTTTGCTCCCAACTGTGGCGTAGAGTTACCAACTTTTGGCACCATAACTGGACACATTGTGGGTTGTCAAAGGAAATATTTGGAGCCAACATTAGCATATTCCCAAGTTCTCATTAAAGATAAGAACTCTTTGTCTCTTCTGAAAAACAAATCACACACTGAGGTGGGAGTAGGCCTAGTTGGACTCCATAAAGGGCCTTTCTTTTGGTGTGTTTTATTTAGCAATGGACAGACAAACTCTACATTTGTGCTTGAAAATCGTGGTGCAGGAATCCAGCAAAAAAAGGGGTGTTATAGTGGGAGCAATACTCCATGCAGTGGGGGGCACAAAAGTAGTGTTGCATTTTTTAACTTCTGCTTCATGTGTTATGTGTTCATTTTGCTGTTTAAACTTTTGTAACTTTCTCTTCTGCTTTTTTTTCATGTTAAAGCTTGGAAAATATTTCATCTTTATATATTCATTATTAGTTAAATCATCTGAAAGAATGTTTGAAAAAATAAATCTGGACAAATCCTAATTAATAAAATCTATACAGACATTCTAATAAGATCTTTATAATATCTAAATCAAATCCTATAATAATCCTAATAAATTCAACATATAGAACCTTTAAAAATATCTTGACCAAGTTTCGTCAATGCTTCCCTGACCTTATTTGCTCATGCAGCCTTGGTCTTATATGTGACTTAAAAAAAACTAATAAATCATTTATTTGCAACTTGTACTGAATCAAATTCATAATCTCCTTCCTTTCAATCAATCTAACCAAATAAGTTTGTTAGCCTTTCAAATCTAAATGCAAATTTCCTTCGGATTTTTCATGGATCAAGTAGGGAGATCAAGAAGAAATTTAGATTGTAATAAAGTCATGACTGTGATTAATTATAAAATAACAAGATCTATTGCAATTGAAGTTCGAAGCCTTATATTTATATCTTCTCAAAAATTGATTGTTTTTGTGTTCTTGATGCTCTTCTTGTGATCTTTTTTAATTCTTGTGGTTTTTGCTCTAATTTTTATTATCTTTACTTGTTTGTCGGAATAGCAAAAGAATTTACGAACTGATACTTGTTATTTGGTCTTTGTGGGACTGATATATGAGACTTTTAACTGGTCTTATAACAACATTTGTGTGATGGGTACACAAGTTGTGCAAATTTGCAATCGACAAAGAGTAATTACCATCCCAAAAGCATATGGTAGAGATAATGCTTATGCAATTCACAATAATGCATGCCAACCAATCAACTTTCTAATTAGGGAGTAGGGATGGCAATGGGATGGGTAGAAGTCCCCCATCACCCTCACAGATATCCATTATTAATGAAAATATTTTATTAATAAAAAATATTAATTTATTATATGAAAAATATATAAATCATTTCAAACTTACCCCTTTAAGTAATTGAAACTAAATTTTAGTATATTTAATTAATGAATATTTATAAGTATTCTGGATATTATACATGTATAAAATACTCCTCCTACTCCTTTTATAAAATAATATATGAAAGACTAAAGAGGTTTGGTAGACCTTATACATTTTATAATTATATAAAATATTTATTTATTTTATTTATCTTTAATAAATAAAGTTGATGACAACCTTAAATTAAAATTAGCAAGGAAATGGGCACATTTTTAACAATTTTGTTAATACTAGCTCTTATAACTAATTTTTATCATTTAAAAATCAATAACTTTTTATCAGTAAAGAAAATAGTGATTACACTTTTGTATTCTCAATCTACTTTTTTTTTTTTGGAAAAAATCATACCACTTTTTTTTGTTTAAAATCAGATTTAAGGATTGATGTTAATATTTTTCAACTTTAAAAACTAAAATATTGATAAAGAGATTGAATTCAATGACATTAAATCATGATAAAGTTAATGTGTTGTAATATTTTTTAAAAAATTAATTAACTTTAACTTTTATTATTGATTTGTATAATTTAATTGCAAATGCCATATAAAAAAATCAAAGAAAGTAACAATGAATAACTTAAAACACTTAAAATCAAAGTGACAATGCAATATTTTCTTAAAGGATATGTTAAATGTAACTTATTTTATGAGTCAATAAATGCATAAATAAAAAATACTTAAATTTTAAAAGCAAAGTTTAGTAATTTCTATGTTTTTCTTTTACTTATTTATCACTCTAAAATGTTGTATAAGAATTTAAAATATATTTAATATTCCTTTTTATTATTAAAATTATCATTTGATTTTCTATTATGTTCCCTTTATCTTTATCTTCTTTGTTAATTAATATTTCTTTTATTTTAAGTTAAAGGTGCATTTAATAAATAAAATTAATATTATCTTAAATATCTAAAAGTGACAATAAATAAAATATAAAAAAAAACATTTACATGAAATTCATATATCAACTACCGATAATTGTAAGCAGGGGTAAAAGTAGGCCAAAGTAAGCTTTATAAGCCTGAGTCTAACTTAACTCTTGTATATATATATATATATATATATACAACTTATTTAAAAACATAATGGGTTTATCCTTATATCTAAATTAGTGAACTTAAACCTTTGAATAAATAAATATATAATTTTCAAATATTGCATTATTATTATTATTATTATTATTACTAAGTTAAATTTTTAATCAAAGACTTTTTGGATGGTCTAAACTCTGGTCACTTTAGGTTGTGTTTGGTAAAATTAATTTAAAACTTATAACTTATAGAGCTTATAGAGTTTATAACTAGTTAATTAAGTTTGAGCTATTCAGTAAAATTAGTTATACAATTAGTTCTTAAGGTTATTTTCTATTAGTATAAGTGGTCTAAAATTTAAAGTAAAAAAACTATTAGAAGTTAACATTCAATAAGTTGAATGCTATTTGAAATTATTTGTCATAAACTACTTTTTAAAAAACTATAATTTTTTATTTTTTAAATTAAACAACTTTATTAATTTATTCACAACAAATTAAACTATAAAATTATAAATAAATTATAAGAGTTTATGTTACTGAACATACTTTTAACTAACTATTTTTTTAAGAAAATCTTAATTTAACTTTTTTAATAAATAAACCTATCTTACTAAGTCATAAAATCGTACACTCTCCTTTAACAGTAGTTACATCAATATTTAGCCCTCACACGATTACTAATCCTCTTATTTTAATATTATTATAACAAAATACTTTAGATAAAAATTACTTAAATAAAAGCGACAATATAATGCAGTTGTAAATATAATTATTGTAAAGTAATACTAAAAGTTATTGTTGCATTTAGATATATTATGCTATTAAACGCTGAATAATTACCATTTAAATATGTAAATGGAACTAAATAGTAATATGAAATAAATAAATAAAAAATTTAGAATTAGTTTCACTACAAAGTAAAATTCAAGAATTTAATTAAAATAGATCTTATGTTAATTCTTAATTTATATTAAAAACAAATTACTTAACGTGATTATTATTTCCTTTCATTATAAGATACTTCTTTCCATCCTTTTTATAAGAAACAAAATAAAGTTTTGTCAAAATTTTTAAAAAAAATTTAATTATTAGAAATTATTTAATGTGACTTTAGAGTTTTATATTCATTAAATAATTTGTGATATTCTAGAATTTTTCTAAAATTTTTAGGAAATACTTAAAATTGGCCTATTTTGTGAAAATCTTAGCAAAAATAAATAAATTTTCAAACTAAATCTAATTATATAGCAAACAAAGCCGTAAAATTTTTAAAATTTTATGAGAGCCTAATAATATTAGAAAGATCTTGGAAAGTAAATTTTTACAATTTGATAAATTTCAAAATTTTATTTTTCAGTATGTCTAATATGCTGACAAGAAACGAACCGATCCGAGAGCAACTTGAGTGAATTAAAATTTTAGTGACTATCCCAGTATTATTCTAAATATTCTACTATTTTTTTAAAAAAAAATTTCTCTACCTATTAAACTGAAAAAGATATATAAATTTGCAAAAGTGAAATTTTTAAGTTAAAAAAAAAGATAAAGTAATTAAATTTTTACTTTTAAAAAGTGATTGAGAGAGAGAATGCATCTTCTTTTACAAGTTTCTGTAAAGTTTTCTACATTTCTCTCTCAAATACACTACTCACCTTCAAGCTAGATTTTGAGGGCCAAAATTTGATTTTTTTTTTTTTAAAAAGCTTCAAGAGGTAAACTTGTTATCCTTATCCTCCTCTACACTTGTATGGTTTTATTTTTTTAAAATGGTGTTATTTAATTTTCTCTTCTTACTTGGATGAGCTTGAATAGGAATGGGAAGGGTGTTATCTTACTTTTATTGTTGTGGTTTTACATCTAGGATGCTAGAATCATGCTTGAAATGGAGGATTAGAAGTAGTTGAGCTAAAAACCTAAGAACCCAAATTCGCAGGTCACTGTTCACTAAATTTTGGGATTTGTATGGACTGAATTAGGATTTTATGTCTTCATGAAAGTTGTATCCCTTTTAATACTTGAAATTTAGCCACTAGTTTCACCTCAAACGGATATTTGTAACTCAAGTTATGTCCATTTTACTAACGGGTGTTCTAGCTGTCGCCATAGGAGGTTGCCCTGTTCTAACAGCCACGGATTTTGATTTACTGAGGCTTATGAGTATAAAATTAGGACTCTACTCCTTCATAAAAGTTGTAGGAAATTGTACGCTTGAAATTTAGAAATTGGTTTCATGTCAATATCTTATGTGTAGGTGAGATATGGCCAGATTACTAAGGTATGTTCAGAGTGTTAGTGTAGTTGATCCCTGTCAGAAACAGCCACTGTAACGTGAAAACTGACACTATTCTATAGGATATTTGAACTTAATTCCTTCATAAAAGTTGTAGATAAACAAACCCTTGAAATTTATAAACTGGTTTCATGTTAAAATATTAAGTATATCTTGAGTTATGGCAAAAATACTGAACCTTGTGCAATCTGCTCGAAAATTTCCCTGTCATGACTTTGATCAACTTTATTGCACAATCTATTTCGAATTAAACTTTGACCTCTACATTAATATTGTAGATAATTACGTTATTGAAATTTAGGCTTTGACCTCATGCCAAAACAGTCTATATAACTCTAAAAAATTCCAAAGTACTTAACCTTGTTCATGCTTGCCATTAGGATTCTTCCTACTCTAAGTGTGTACCAACTAGGATGATTTTTTTAAGTTAAGTGTGGGGTAAATGTGAGCTTAACATATTACAAAAAAATGGATTAACAAAACAAAGTGAGTTTAAATTCCCACAAGATAAAATCAGAGAACTATAAGGTCTAACTAGCGTTTCATTACGTGTATAGATTTCGTAGGAAATCAACTTCAAGCGTTAGAGAGAACAAACGTGGACGTAACAGATAAGGGGTGGGCTATGTAGTAAGAATTACATCATAAA